TCTTCTTTTGTCCGGCGAGAGGCCAGGCCAGACCGCGCCGTAAATTACATTACAGCGAATAATTATTGTTCTTCATTAAGCAGGAAGTGCGCGGAGTTGCATGTTGCGACAAAAGCGTTCGACATTAGAGATCTGCCGCCCACTCGGCCCCCGTTGCTCTTTGTTCGAGAAACGATGTATCGCGCGTCGCCGCCGTCGTCGTCGCCTCTCTCGAGGAGGGCCGGTTTGCAGGAGGATGAGAGGCAAAAAAATCGGAGGGGGGGGAGGAGAATCGAAACGGAGAGACGAGTGCGGCCAGTCGGAGAGCAACGCCGACAAAATCGTGGATTTAGCGCGGGAATCGGTAACGCGGCATGGCTGCGGGGACGATAAATTGGTATGGCCAACTGCTCGAGCCAACGAGCCGTGTCCAGTTTGCCAGCCCTCAGTAGAGCGACGGAGAGGGAGAGACGGCGGACGAGAGTTGTCGCGCGCGCGGAGGGGGGGGGGCGGAAGGGCGAGAGGGACTATCCCGACATTCACCGCACGCTATTCTTCATACTCCATTATCCGTGCTCTACTCCACTCTACTCCATTATGCCGGCACCGCGTATAAACGACGAGTCGCGCCGCCCCCGACCCTCCCGACGAACCACCGTGTGTCCATCAGGTCGTCCTCTGCCCTGTGCAACAGCGATAAACACTAGCCGGTGCGGTGGCTCGGTTATCGAATGAGAAAAGTACGCCGCTTTAAACGGACCACTTCGTAATTCCGTGTCAAACCCTCCCGGGCGGGAGTGCGCGCGTTGCTCCTTCGGCGATTTTTCAAGTCGGCCCTTCGCACCCCCGACCAGCTCGCGTGCGTAATGATCGTCGGAGGTTCCCGGCGAGAGATAGCGCGGATCTCTGCCGAGGATCGCGATTCGCTTCAACTTTGCTTTAAAGCGTAAGTCGTAGACAAATTGACCAACCACGATCGATTATTTTGTTTTTTCAATAAACGAGATATGATTGGTCAATTTGTTTACCGCTTACGTCTTAAAGCAAGGTCGTAGACAAGGTTGTAGACAACTTAGACCGCGTTAAGCATCATTCCACCTTCTTTTGGCGTAAGACGTGCATCACAATAGTGATAGAATGACGCTTACAGCGCGTGAACAGCCGAAGAAGAACGCAGTCATAACGTCACACGCGCCTTAGTAACGTCTGAATTCGCGGAGCCGCTTATTGTATAATTGATATTGGCATTTGCAAATTTGAAAGCGCGTCCTCAAAAGTAGGTCGCCATAATGCCAAGATACGTAATTCACGGTGATAAACTTAACTCGGCGTACTGGATGTGAAACGCGCCTTCATCATGTACGTACATATACGTACCACTTGGCTGCGAGGCAGACGCGAATTCCCCTCACGAGACCAGGTTTAATTAAATCTTTTGCAAATTTGCATATACGCACTTCCGTCAGTGAGAATCCTTTAGAACCCTCGGCGCGTTACCGAGACCCTTGTAGAGATTCGTTTCCCTACCTGTGTTATGTAGATCCCGCCGCCAGTCCTCCGAGATGATAATAATCTGAGCGAAGACGACTTCGAGGGAGCAAGGAGCAACGGAGGTCCGAAAAATAAGGCGCTAAAAGGAAACAGAAAAACAGAAGACGATAGAAAATGCGAGTGTTAGACAACGGAAAGTAAGGTGTTCTATAATAAAAAAAAAGGGGGAGGGGGGCCAAAAAAAAGAAGAACAAAGAATGTAATCCCAAGATACACGCAAAGGATGTGACTTCTGAATCGTGCGAAGTTCCAGGATAAACGGATCGGCGGGGGACGCACGGCGTGGGATGATTGAAGAGAAGTCACATGGATCATATTTTGAAATACACTTTTACTTCGACTCGGTCAAAAACTACGATAACAATAGGTCGGTAGATATGTATATCGGAAATCATTCTTCGGAAACGCAGGGTGCTCGTCGCCGGCTTACAAAAACGGATAAGCCTCGCCGGCGCGGCGCGGTGCTTCCCGCGAAAATCATTTCGCGAGTCGCTTCACGAGCTTTCGTTTCTTTCGCGGTAATTTCGATGTAAGGTCTTCGATGCCGGTACGACCACACGTTCGTTCGTTCGTTCGTTCGTTCGTTCGTTCGTTGAATACTCGCGAGCTTTTCGTCGCCCACGCGCTCCCCGACACGGTTTTCACGCGGGAGGAGACTTTTTCTCTCCTCGCACGCGCACACGCGCGCGTACGAATCAAATCCCATTCGATTTTATCGCCGGCTTCACCCGAACGTGACCGCACGTGACAGCCTTTCGCGAATCAGGCGATTCCCCGAGATAATCGAAGGTCGGCTGCGAATATCTCGCCAAAAGCGCGGAGCCGGATTTCTTCTGTCCGAAAGTTCTTGCTGCTGCTGTTGTTTGGGGGGAAACGCGAACGGGTCGAAGGGAAACTGAACGCGCCACCGTGCCAGATATACCGTGTGTATGTACAGAGAAATGAAGCTGACCGTCCACATCAGCCTCGACGATATTGCACGATCCCGCAGCACTCGGTCGCAATTATACTATGAAAACGTAATCGATGAAATAAATTAGCGCGTCGCGTCGTTTGAAACGCCGACGGATAATGATTCGATGAAACGACAATGATCTAGCTATGTACACGTATATACATCCCGTCGATATCGTTATTATTATCGTCGTTATCGTCGTCACCGTCGTCGTCCTTGTCATCGTCGTCATAATCACTTTCACACATCCACACTCGCTCTTTTCTTTCGTTCTCTCTCTCTCTCTCTCTCTCTCTCTCTTTCATATACGCACACGGAATCCGTTCTCACTTAATTACAACTCCTCCTCGCCCATTCACTCATCTAAGGATTCGTTGGCGCGAGACACAACCGGTGAAAGAAGAATTGCGAAACCCCTTCCGGAGCTTCCCGGGAGAGCGTGTGCTTCTCGACGAACGGACTCGCCGCGAGTTCTTCACGCGGATCGAGCGCGGAGTTATTAATGCCCACTAATATAGTGCTAGTTTGTCCTCGAAGAATCGACACAGTCCACGACGGTCCTCGCGGGGAGAACCACGACGACACCCGGCGAGCGATACCCTGAAGAGAGCGATCCGCGCGACCCTCCATTCGCGCTCTTCCCCGCGGAAGACCGACGGAGAGACGGCCGAGCGAGTGGTTCAACCGCTCGACGGCCGACTCATCCGGCAAGTGAACGCGCGCTTCCGCTCCTCAGTACGGTCTCCAGACGTTGTTGTCCGGTCTGACCTCCTCTTGCCTGACGCTGCAACTGTCCGCGACGGCCCTTTGTTCCGCGCTCTCCGAATTCTGGAACTGATTCCCGTACAGCTGGGAGTAGAGGATGCTGGGCAGCACGCCCGGCGTCGGGAAGTAGTTGCCGTAATTCTGCCCAAAGCCCTGCTCCTCATGCACCGGGCTCTCGGTCGTGCTGGAGTCGGTGGAGAGCGATCGGGGCGACACGTAGTCCTGGTACCTGGACTGGCTGGAACTGCCGGACATGAGGCTGCTCAGCGGGTCCAACGGATCGGATTGGCCCGGCGTCGTGGTGTCCGGCACAACTGTGACATTCGGCGTAAGAGACGCTACGTTCAGTCCGCTGCCGACTAGCTAATGACGAACTACGCGTGTGTCCTCGCTCGCGAGAGCCGTGACTTTGCCATCGATCCTGCCGACCTGTGACCTCTCCAACCATGAGGCCCATATTCTAGCGATTGCAGAGACTAATAAGACTGATAAGAGAAATCAATATCACTGGAGCGAGTTCGACGACTTTCGTTCGTGTATTTATTACGAGAGGAAGATGGTGAAAAAGAAAAGGAATCGCGAGGTGTCTTGTTCGAAATATAGGAAAAGTGACTACACTGAGAGAAATCCTGCGAAATTTATAGTCACTTTCGGCCGCAACTGTATCTTCTTCTGCTTTTAACTCGAAAAACTGTACGCTGTGATAGAACTGTGTAACTGTGATAGAAAATTATAGATGAATTAACCAGGAAGTGGACAACCAAACGCGTTCCGGTTGGAGGAGATAGAATTTTCGATTATAAGAGCTAATAATATTCGTTTTTATAACCAGAAATCCTATTTCTTTCAACCAAAACGCGTTTGGTTGCCTACTTTCCAGTTAATTCAACGATAATTTTCGATGTAATAACAATATGCATAAACGTACTTAATATATTTGATAATTGTGACTATGATCATCATAGTGAAAGAATTACAGTCAGGAAAACCAATTTTCTAGTAAGTGTTACTATAGTGTTAGTGATAATAATCTTACATGCATGTTGTTATCACTATTTTTGTAGCTCAAACTATAAAAAGGTTATGGTTGGGACCAAAAATAACTATAACTTCTCTCATTGTTGTGTTATAATTTAATGAGTATATTTTCTTTTCCCGGCGCAATGGAAATCTCGTAAAACTGTGCTGTAAAACTGATCCTTGCAGTCAAACTTCCCCATTGTCAATTCACTTCTTTTAAAACTATATTGTAAAATAGCCTTGTGACTGGCTCAATTGTGGATCCTTAATATAAAAAAAGTATATGTATGTAAAATTATTATCACCAACCCTATAACATACTAAAAAAATTGGTTCTCCTGATTACAATTCTTTCATTTATGCGATTATAGTTACAAATACCGACATTTTTTTCAATGTACGTTCTAGAAGGAACACTTCGCAATCGCGGAACAGTGAAAACGGAATCTCAATATGTTTCTTTCGAAACCTAAACGTTCCTCCTATATTCCGAAGAAAACATAAACGAAACGCTCGGCGAACCTGCCCCGACCAATTCATCTATTTCTCCGACGGTCCGCAGTCCCGACAAGAATCCCGAGCGTGATACTCCGCGAACGCGTAGTGATTAGCAGCTCGCGCTTTCGCGCGATTAACGGGACGATTAGAGCGAGTGGAAGTTCGAGTGAGCGATAACCCCATGGTTGGTTTCTGCGCGCCACAGCGAGACTGGAGGACGACGATCGTGCTGGACTTACGAGAGGAGACCGCGGAGAAGGCGTCCTGCTGCGGCGTGGAGCCCGTTCCGGTGCCGGATGTGACGGTCGAGCCCGCCGTCGAGTCCGGTGCCGTCGGTGTGCTCATGGAGGCCGTGCCGGCGAAGGACGCCAACGTGGACGACGGCGGAGGTGGCGGAGGAGGTGGCGGCGGGGGTGGAAACGACGCCTGTGCGGCGCACGACGACAGGGGACCCGGAAGGTAACCGGCGTAGCCGGCCGTGCTGCCGTACCCCCAAGAATTGCTCGCTGTCAGGCCGAACTGGGACATATCTAAAGAAATCCTGCCGTTTGCACGTCTCCTTTTCCCGCGGCTCAGCGCGACAAGCACGGGGATGAGGAATCGACGAAAGAGGGTTTTGCGGACGGACGATGACGGTGGTTTGAGCGAGTGCGAATGGAGGAAGAAGCCGGCAGCGGCGGGTCGCGTCGGGAAAGCGATCGACGAACGAAAGAACAATTAGCAGGTTCGTATATACAGCGTATAAATAACACAAAGCACGCTAATATAAAAACATCGATAACATCCACATCGGGAACGGCGACGGACGGCGGCGTCGCGTCGGCGAAAAAGATAAATAATATTTCTCTGCCGTGCGATCGGACGAATACAACAACGGGAGAAGGAGCGAGGGAAAAGGCGAGACGGGGGAAATTTCTGCCGGATTATATGCCAATTCGAATCACTTGGCGAGATGCATCGGCGGTGGCGGCGGTCCAGCGCTCGCCCCTTGGCGGATGTATTTTTGCGGGGTATAGGCAGCATCCCCGATAGATTTTCCAATGAGTCACGGGGCTTGAATGCAGAAAGGACGAGAGCTCGGCCCGCGAGAGGGACGCGGGCGGATGGGCGGCGGAGGGGGACGGATGGAGGGGTACATCGAGATCAAAGGGTTGGTCATCCCCCCGCGTAGCTGGGGCCAACTCAAATAACCAAGCTCGCCTCGGCGAGCGCCACCGGACCGTCGTCACGAGAGCTAACCCTAAATACTGCTACCCGCCGGGGTGCTTTCACGTCCTTCGGCACCACCGGATTCCTTGCGGTCCGAAGAGAAGCCTCCCTTTTTACGGAAAATCGCCGAAAGTTGCGCGAGTCCGTCCGAAGTATTCCAGGACCGCCGCGGGATTCGAATACCGGATTGAATCCTGAAGCGAGTTTATTTCGTCTCTCCTCTCACTCTCGCTCCGTCTCGCATGAGAGCCACGTAGAAGCTTCCAGCGAGCAATCCTCGAGCGAACGTCTTACTTCGCTCGGCGCGAAACGCGCGCTCGTATATTGAAATGTGCGAGGGGAAATAATGAATCGCAATGCCGCGCGGCTCGAACTTTCGCGATTTTATTAAAGAGGAAAAGTATAACCGCGCGGAGTGTCTCTCGAAATGGAAACCGCCCAGCGTCAAGCATGTATAGTAGGAGAATAATACGGTCGCGTACGCGTATTATCGGACGACGGGATGCTCGATGAGGGAAAAAAGCTAATAAAGGAAATATTCGGCGTGCTTCGTATTTTATCGGGAAATTTAGCAGCGGAGCAGTCCGCCCTCGCGTCTGAGGTAACTCATTAAAACGGCTGATCTCGAATTATTGTTTAAGCTTTTTTTTCCTCGTCTCTTCTTGCACGCGCTGCCAGAACCGTTTATCGATACACACCCGAGAAAAGTATTGAAAATTTTATCGTGCAAGTATCGTACGCGCGCACGAATCGTCGCGCGGCTATCAGGCTTTTGATCGCGCCCCGATCAGCAGTGCAATATTAATCAACGATCGAAGACTTGTTCCCCCTTTTTTTTTTTCATTTTATTCTCCCTCCTTTTCCTTCTTTTTAATAAAATTCAGCGGGCAACATTTTCTCGAAATTACGCTGACAACGCACTTTGCGCGCAAACTCGCGAATCCACGTTATGAACGCGGAGGGAAGGTGAAGCTGCGCCCCCAAAACAGGGAGCCAACCGACTGGGACGCGCTTCCGTGGCAACCCCTTTAATATAATATTTAATCTAGCTTTGAACAGGCTTGCGGTTTCCGCCTCTGAAGCCGAGAAGCTAGCTACCGAGCCTACCCAAAAGCTGTGCTTCTGTACTCAGACCGGTAGCGTCTGGTTGGAAATATTCCCGAACTCGGCGGAAGCCATCCACTCGATGACAAAAATTATTTAAATTTCATAACTACTGGCGAGAGACTACGCGAGCGAAATAACGTCGCAATATGAAGAAAATCCGTATCAGAGGGTACACCGTTCTCTAATCCTTCTTGAGCGCGTTTGAAACCGACTTCTCAGAAAAGTCAGTTTTTCTTATTCTAGGCAAACTTTTGCTTCTTATATGTCATAATTATGAACTTTCATTAAACAAAAGCTAGATCTGTTAAATTTGAATGAGTGATAAACGCCAATAGGCCTTTTATTTCAATTAAAATTCTGAAAGGTCTGGTTGATAGTTCTGAATTATTAGAGACACTCACATTAAATACGTCCTTTATGTCTTTTAGAAGATATTCACTTTTTTATGTTAAATTACACCGTAGATTTTATAAATCTGAACCAATCAATAGATCATGTTTGTTTGCGAATCATTTTAATAGTAGACTTTTATTTTGTCATTTAAAACTGTCATTATAAAAAAAACTTCTGATTTCTTTTATACGTTCTTTTATAATATTATTTATACGTATGTTTCTTCTCCCAAATGATTTTAATTATGTATATCAAAGGGAAGCATTTCGGTAAGTGCATGAAACAAATAAATAAAAATATGACAAATATTTTGTACGAGTCACAATTTAACGTATCTCATTTTTCACTTCCTTAGATATTCCAAATCTTCAAGATACGCAAATGGTATATCGAAAAATGTACGTTTCAACCTCGAAATAAACGAGAAATCTCCGGAATGATCGAACGGTTTTTCCAAAACACGTCGAATGTTGAAAAGCGTCGCAACCCTTCTGCCGCCGATTGCCACTGCAAATTCATCGAATGACCGGCTGCGGAGAGAAAAACACACATGCACAGAGCAAGCGGTCGGGCGGGGTGCTCAAAGTCGTGCGAGCGCGATTTGCGAGGATTACGATCATGCGGAGGGGGGAGTCCGTTCGGTTACTTACTCTGACAATTGCCAGGCATCGCGTGTCTGAAGGAAGACAACGGATCCCTCGGCTGCAGCGGATTCGGTAGCGGTTGCAACGGATTCGGCAGAGGTTGCAACGGATCCACCAAGGGCGAGGCGAAGAACGGGCCGCCCCGTTGCGAGGCGAATGCGAAGGCGTGAAATTGTTGTTGCTGCCCTAAAAGAGACAGCACTGCGATCAACCGTGCGCCTGCCCACTGGACCTCCGGTGCGACATCAATCGTGCGTTTCATTTATCGTCATTCTCCTCCGATCACCACGCGAAAGCGAGCGGGGCAGCGTCGAGCGTTTTATTCACGCATAAATCACGAGTCGAATCCGTCCGAGTCTCGCGACAGCGCGCTGCGGGTTCTACACGATGTCGCAAACGGGTGAAAATACTACACCGTACGCATTCATCTCTCTCTCTTTCTCTTCCTTTCTTTTTGCTGGTTCCTTTTCTCGTTTTCATCCCCGACACACACAATTGCCGCGTAAGCCGCATCTTTTATCTATCGAAACGACAAACGGAACGATACCGGAACCGAACACCGTCCCTTCGGTAGCCGGAGGGGACGAACGAGGGAGAGACACGAGAGAGGCACCGATATATTTTATTTCCCTGCGACGGTGTCGCCAACCCAATTAAAGACGTCCCAACAGGCGGACGTCCTATCCAGGCTGTCCCCCGGCTAGAGGTCGCCGCACGGACAGCGCTACTACGTGCGTTCCCTTCCCCTAAAGGCAACGATCCGAACGTGGAAGGCACCGGAGGCCAGAGAGACCGACGGAGGGTCGCGACGCAGGGCGGGAAGGGAGAGACGGTGGACTCTCCCACCGTCCTGATAATCCAATCGAAGCCCTAATTCTAACTCGGCAACCCGAAATTCCCGCCGGTTTGCTGAATAGGGTACGCTCGATCCGGGGACACAATGGGGGCGCGACGGCGGAATACCGACGGGTACCGAGACTAACGAGATCCTGTTAAACGACCGGCGATTCGAGCACGCCGCAGAGCCCGGGAGGAGCTCGGAAGAAAATTCGATGGGTCGTACGGGTTTCTTAGGTGGGACGCCTTTTATTTCGCGAGCGAGCTAGAGAGGATGAATCACATTTCGCCGCGGGCTCAAGTCGCTTCTCGGGGGTGGCCCCGGTGCCTCCGAGCAGGGAGCACGCGATCGGCGCGCGTTCGAAACCCGAGGATTTGTTTCGAGACAGTCTTCCGACGAGAGTGCGGCGGCCTGATAGATTTAATAAATTATGCCGCTCGACCCGCGAATTTATCACGCCACCCTAACCCTTTGAGCCCGGCGTACCGTTCTTCCCAGTATTTCATTAGGCGGTGAGCACCCGTGCGACCCTCCGAATGGATGCGCGCGGACGATCGTTGGCTCGTCCGAAACCGCTCCCGACTGTCTCTCTCGCGAGTCAGCGTTACCCCGTTGACCGATTTCTCGCGAGACTAACTTGGCGTTCCCGACCAGCATTTTCCGCAAAGTGTCCCGCTCTGCGAGACGATACACCTCGTCGATCCGTTACCGGCTGGATTCGGCCACTCCAACCATCGCACGCCGGCATTTTCTGATTTATTCTTTCGCGGAGTACGAGGCGCGCGCTTGGCGATTGGACGAAGTCGTAAGTCCCCGGCAAGTCGCGGCTATCGATTTCATTGGACACCCTCTTTACGCGCCGTGACTGCCAGGGAATTTCTCGAGAGTTAGCAGCTGGCAACGACAGATCCTCATTTCGTTCCGTCGCCAACCCCGCTTCCTCTCTCTCTCTCTCTCTACTTCCCTCCTGCACCCTCGCTCTACTACCACTCAACCCGCGTCCTGAAATCGGCTCCTCTCGACGCGCGCGCTGGATGGCGGCGCCGCATCCGTTTTCGATCTTCCCGGGGTCGCCGAGGACCGCGTTTCGTTTGTCGAAGATGTTCGCGAACCTTCCGGGACCGAGCCGGCGTCGAACGGGCGAGAGAGTCTTCGCGAGCAGCATCCCGTAGCCCGGGCTAAACTTCCCTCAATCAATTTCCTTGGCCCCGCAACCTTTCCGCGGCAGCGGCAACGGCCACCTTCGGCTACCAGACGAGGGTAGAATGTGTAATGAATTGCTTGTTTAATTAATTACAACCCTCCGGAGGTATTCGACCGGCGTTGCCTTACGTAAGATTCATTCGTTCGTTCTCTCGCGTCGATCGCCCGATGCAGAAAAGCGCGATTTGTAGAAGGGACCGCTTCCGAACGCACGTTCGTCCGTTCGTCAAAGGGTCGACAACACGAGAGACACTCCCGGCGCGTGAGACACCGTGAAACTGCTAATTAAAACACGTTACCGAAGGAAAGTGCGCAGCCGGCTGTTCCCCCGGCGCTTTTAAAAACGATCTCGACGCGGAAGAATACAGAAGTAAACGCGCATGGCGCGTGAAAACGTAATAGACGATCCTCAAAGTCCACGTTGAAGGCTGAGATAAAGACACGCGGGGGGTCAGGCGCCCGAAAGAAGCGCACAAGGACCACCCAAGAGGCCCTTTCATCTCGCGCCGCCACCCTTGAATTTGTCGCGCCATTGCCCCGATCTAGCGAACGGTTTGTTTTCATAGAAGACTCAAAGCGCCGACTTGACGAATGCTTACTTCCTACGTTTTGTGCGTTACCCTAACGATCCCTAAAATTTTATATCCGTTTTTCTTTCTTCTTTTTCTCCTTCTTCTCTCTTTCCCTCTCCCTCTCTCTCTCGTTCATTCGCTCGCTCACCCGAAAAAGTTCTCGACGTGACGTGTTTTTAGACGAGGAGGAATGTAAATCTCAACTTCGGCTTGACTAAAATTGACAGCCGAGAGGAGGAAACGCACGATCTTCATCGGCGATTCGTACAACGAGAGACGGTGGAAAAAATGTCACACCATCCTCGCGCGAGCTGACGATTAATTAATAACATTAATATCGCGAGAGGAATTACTCCTCCGAAATGTCACGCAGTGTTTTGCTTGGATGCGCGTCTCCGAGCGGTACACCGAAATTTCGCGTTTTCATATTTTGGATTTATGACGGAAGTTTCGTGGGTGGTCCGCAGATGCGGCCAAGCCGGCGGATGTGGTCGCAATTTCCCAAGGTACCAAACTTATGCCGTGCCACCCAGGGACCGCCTCGATATATTAAAGCTATCGGATATTTTTGGTGCGCCTTCAGGGACGACACGGGCTCTCTATTACGCGTATTAGCGTCCTAAGATCCAATGCCGCGGCGAGATTCATCGTGCATTGCGATGCGGCGCGCGAATATCTCTCGGTGGGTTTAAACGCAGTGCGCGATCGACTTTTTCAGAACAAAGAAGGAAAAAAAAAAAGAAGAGGAGACCCCCCTCCGGAGAAACTTCCCCGCCGCAGAACCGAGATCGAATATGTTTCGCCGTCGTCGAGTGTCCAACTTTGGACTGCGAGACTGAAGAAAATCGCACGTCCGTCGCGCGCGCGACGCCGCAAATTGGTGCGCCTGGGACTAAATTTTCGGGGGCGTACAATACGTTACGCGGTAGCTTATGTAACAAACGGGGAATGAGAAAGAGAAAGAGAGAGGGAGGGAGCGAGAGACACGCTTTGTCCCCTTCCCGCCCCGTGGAAGACAACGTCGACGAGCCCGACTACTGCGCGCGACCTACCGAAATAACGGGGATTCTCCCCGGTAATTGTATGTCTCGGCGGCAGTAGCTCGCGGAGGAGTTCTCTCGCGGCCGGATATCCGCGAAGTTTGTAGGCGTCGCCTGCGTTTTGGCTAAAGCGCCGCGATACACCTCTCCGCTCGGGCAACGCCCGCAGCTCTTTGTCAATGTTATGGCGCCCGGTGCCCCCGCGGTTATAAATAATGGCAATTGCGCGAAACTTAGCCTCGGAGGTAACGGCCGACCAGCGCGAAGCCGCACGCTCGGGCCATTTCGAACTTGCGGCTTTTACTGCCTCCGGTGCCATGCCGCTCGTTCGTTAGGCATTACGATCGTTTCGGGAGATTCCCCGGTAGCCGTTCGTGTGTTACGCGCGAGAGAGCGCGTATGTGCGCCCCCAGGCCGAATTTCCGCAACGCGGCCGTTACCGTCCGGAATCTCGAGGAATCGCGCGCGACCGTTCGAAGCGAAAGCACGGAGCCAGCGAGGCGGCCGTGAGTTCGGTGAGGCGTCGGAGAAGCAGCCGCTACTCTCCTCCTCTCTTATCGACTAATAATAGTAACAATAATAAGATGTAATAAATATGTATAAGAATAGCAATGCTTACAGTGATACTCACTGGTCTTGGATCGCGGTTCGCGCGGCCCATCCACCGTCACCTTGATGGCCTTGCTGTAGGTGGCGACTTGAGGCGGCGTAGTCGACACCGTTATCGTTAAGGTGAAGCTCTTGCCTGCAACACAAACCAGACGACTTGCGCGTCACGACGATCGCGACGTGTTGTTATCCGCGATACCGCTTTAACCGCTTTTCGTCGCATCGCTCTTTTCTTTCGTTATTTTCGCTCATTTATAACGCTAGCGGAACACACCTATCGTCCTCACCGCACGCGCAGTTTTTTTTTTGGATCGTTTCGAGGCCCCCGCGTGATCGCATACTATTTGGGGAGCGACGGGGAATTAGATTTCCAAAAACGAGGAGGACGATGCGCACGGCCGGGGACGTTTTTAGCGTCGGCTCCCGTCCCGCGACGCGTCGATCCGTGGACGCGCCTATTCAGCTGGCGTCGAAAGTTCGCAAACGCGGTTAGCCGGGCGAAACTCCGCGGTAACCGAATTACACGTCGGTAATGTATCGAGGGCGTCGTCGACGGTGACGGTGGCCAGCCAGCGCGGCCGAGTTAAGGGAACAGGGTGGCCGTTCGAGGAGGGTTGGGCGACGGAGGGGGTGGCGGAGATCGCGTGATGCTAAAAAGCCTCGGTTACGCGCGAAATAATGTCGTGGAAAAAGCGAGCGGATAGGCGGAGGAGCGAACGAACGGACAGGCGGACGAGACGCGTGCAACGGTACACCGCAATTTCATCCCGCGAGGTTTAAGCGCCGAAACTCCGCGGCGAAAACTCGCCGCCGGCGGCGCGATCGATTCGGCCGCGCAAGCACGCGATAAAGCGCGCGAAAGCGTGCCGCGCGAAAAGTCGCCGGTGCAAAAATTGCGCGCGTGATAACGTTGCGCGCGCGGAGGTTCACCGCAATTTTCACCCACCCCTTTCCTCTCTTTCTCTCGCTCGCCCGCTCGCTCTCGTCCATCAACGCGCACGCCGCCCCGTTTCGTCCGGCCGACGAAAGCGTTTTTTCTCCCCCGTCGCGAATTTTATTTGTTAGACGACGCGTCGTCGACGGGGCGATGATATTCTCTTTCTCTCTCCGTCTCGCCGCGTCCGCGACGGGAATATAATGATCATCTTACTAACCCACATATCGCGCACTCTCTTGCGCAATAAATGTACTTCGAGGCGTGTTTTCTTGAAATTAGATACGATAATGCTGCAAGGTAGTGCGCTTTTACCCGCCGCCAGTTTGCAAAATGAAAGATAACACATTACGTTATTTATATTCGCCCCTAAACGAGTTCCTTCCCGCTAATGCGTTACAACGCTCGCGTTACCCTTTCGAGGAGCCCCGGCCATTACCGTATTTTTCTATCGGACCCATTAGATACGTTTTCCGCGGCGGAGCCGCGATAATCGATCGCCGCGCGGAGCTCAACCTTCGACCTGGAGACTACCACCTCCGCCGAGACACGGGGCGTCGATAGAGAGACGGGAAAAAGTTCCGCCGCGGTGTGACGTAAGATGATCGATGCCAGGGAAAAAAGGAGTGCGCGCAGCCGAGAAAGGCGGACGGGCGAGCACCGGAGAAATAATGGCGAGTGTCGAGCGTGGCCACACGGCGGTTCGCCACGCGAGCTTTTCGTTTTCCAGCGGGGATTCCCCCTCGGTTTGGCTGCGAGTCACGCCATCCTCAGTCGAGCCCTGCCAGCCAGCCAACCGTCCAACCTTTTCACCTCCACCGACGGAGTCGATGCTTCCAGTTAGGTAGGTACGCGTAGGTACACGGGTATCACCCTCGGTGCCAGTCGCCGTACGGCCATTAAAGGTCGTCCGCCACCCTTACGTATCTTTTAAACGCTCGCCTTGTTAACCCGCCCGAACAAGCCCCCGGCGCCACTTTGTTTCCGATCCGGTCTTTCTTACCCCCCCCCCGCCCCGCTACGATAACGCGNTAACGCGGAATCGGCTAAGTGGGCTTGTTCTCGGGGAATCGATTCGTGACGCGAGGCACGAAATGAGTTTCTCTATGCGGCTGATATCGGTCGGGTGATCATTTTTCGAGTCTTCTTGAAGAGCGGTATATCGTCGTCGAATTCATCGGGAAAAACGGACGGGAAGTCGGGACGCTCTCTCGTAACCATTCCGCTGATTATGCTCGTTAGCAGCACGGTCGTCGTCTCTCTGCGAGCGTGTGGAACAACTACGCGTGCATACACGTGTCCCGGCATTGTACGGCGTTGTCGGCTACGCGCTGTCGGGCCAATTAATTAATTTCAATTTTCCCCGAACGAAACGCAAATGCGCAATTGCAGCCTGATAACGAATTGATTACGGTCAGGAACTGCCACCGTCATCGTGAGCGACTGCCCGTTTTTCTTTCCGCCGAGGCTGAAACGAGCCTCGTGCGTTACGGACGATAAATTAACATCTCGCGAGCGAACGCGTGTCGCTTCGATGTGTTCCGTGGATTTTTATTGCGTGCGGCCGCGCACACACACACACACACACCAAACCCGGCGAATTGTGCCGGCACGTGCCATCAATTTTAATCATCGCGCGCCTGTTTATACACGCGCGCGTAAATCTTTCCGCGGCGATTGTGAGGTTTTATCCTCGGTGGAGTCGCGTTCAGCGCGCCGCTTTAAATGTTATTTCACGCGAATCCGCGCGAATGATCTCCGCTCGTCAACGGTGACTCGCGAAACTTCCAGTCCGAGCGTTTACCCGCCGCCGAAAGTCGCTTTCATTCCCTCCCTCCCCCCGTTCTTGTTGCTGTTGTATATTACAAGGACAATGATTAATAGGTTTCGGAAGGAGTGGCGTTCTAGAAAAGCAACTTGGTAAGATCGGCGACGTTCCCGCGAAGGTTTATTCGCGGCAGCAAAGTCGAAGGATACCCGGCTGCTACGGGTCGGAACTATAAGCGCGCAAATGATCTATCTCGTTAAAGGGCTTAGGGCCGAAGGGAACAATCCGGTACCTTCGGGGTAGACTTTGCAGTGATGGAGCAGGCATTACGGTCGAACGTGCGGGAAGGGGGTTACGGCTTATCATCGATATTGCAAAGCTCTCGACTATCGTGGCAGTACGCTCAACCTTGTCCGGGCTAAAAGCGGTTTTAGGCGAAGACAAAAGCACGGTGTCGGCGCGGCGCGCTTAACGAACCCTTAAATTTATCGAGACGGTAACTCCGAGAGATGTCTTGTTTCTGTCGATCGCACGGATGCGTAACTTCGAGAGATTTAGAATATATTTTAAACGTGTGTAATTGTTTTCCTATGTTTTCCTGTCGCACAAGGATTAATTAGACGCGCGAGGCGGAAGAGAGAGAATGAGCATAAAAAAGAGAGAGACAGCAGCTGAAGGGAATTTCTAATCTTCCTGCGAATCGGAAGGACAAAATCCTTCTCTCACGGAGGTTCCGTACGTGCGAATATTTCCACGCTCGACAAACGAGAGGATCATTAAGAATTCGCGGGAGTTCGGGCACATCGGTTCCCAGGGAATATTCAAGGATCCGGGGAGCCGTTAGGAATCCTGACGAGAGAGAGACACTTCTCTTACATTCTTCATCCTAGCTTATGTTAATTCCGCGCTCGGCGAAAACAATTGAGAGCTAATCCCAGACAAATGACTGACGCGTTCCCGTGAACCCCGGGGAAGAGAGTTTCCCCCCGTCTCTTAGCTGGGGAATTTGCGAGTATCCTGATTCGCGTGCGATTAGCCTCGCCTTTACCGACACGATCGAAAATATAACAATAACGGTGCGTCTCTAAGAACTCTGTCGTCGTCACGATTTCTGCCAATCGTTTCTCGCGCACGTCAACACCGACGGTCGATTTCAAAAATTGCCTCACGCACAACCGTTCGCAACGAGTTGTCAAGTAAGTCAAACAACTTTATTGATGTCATTAGAAGTGGGTCGGACGGCAACTACCTTAAGTATTGCGTTAATCCAGAAGTGGCGGGAGTTCAAAAGACACAGTTAGACGAAATACCGGCTCTAATAACGTTAATTAAAACTCAACTGAAACCTCAATTAATATCACCCACCCCTGCTGGGTGCTTCTCGGGCGTCGGCGGTGCTCCTTGGAGCGACGCTCCGTCGCACTCGTCCCTCGTCGTTTCGCCCTTTCGCCGACGCGAGAGGCCGGGCGGCGGCAAAGGAGCGGTGAAAGAGAGAGAGAGAGAGAGGAGAAGGTCGCACGGCGGTGCGGACAAATAAAAGCCATTACCCACCCCAAGGCGTCTTCTCGGATCCACCTCTGCCCGCCCGCGCCAAGAGCCAACCCCCGAGAACTCGCGCCGGAGACGAGACTTTTCCACGACGGGCCGAGGAAAAACGGGGGTTGTCTCAAGACGTCCGCGACCTACCCTTACTATGCGCGATTTCTTCGAGGGGGTTTCTTCACCGTCGCCTCGCCCCTCCTCGGCATTTTCTTCCGGCGTAAAACGCGAAGGGCGACACGCTCGGCGAGGATCAGGGAGAACTTCGGAGTTTTATGAATGGCGAGGAAAGTGGAGCAAGGAAACGTCGCGTCCGACACCTGGCCCTTCATCTTCTCGTTCATCACGGCGAGCTTCGCCCAATCGGCGAACGGGAGATTCCGAACCCTCCAGGATAACGAAACCCTCAACCGGCGGATGCAATAACGTGAGAGCGAGGGCTTACCTCTACCGCTTCGGCCGACGAACCTCAAGTCGTTGAACTTGGCGACCTGATTCTTCATCAGAGCCGTCGAATTTCTGAGCTCGGCGCAGCAATTCTCATCGTTACCGGCGCGAACGGTCACCAAGGTGCCGTCGCCCACTTCGCCGAGAGCAACGACCTTGAATGCTACCGGGAGAGTCTTGTTGGACCTCCAGTGCGCAGGCAGGACGGTGCAGACCAAGTGCGGCGACCCTGAGCACAAGATCCCCGTCTTCCGTTATATACGAGATACTACATCGCTAATGTGCGATTCACACACTGAGAGGAAAATATTTTGTATTTGTAACTATGATCATTACAGTAAAAGAACTATAGTTAAAAGCGTCAATTTTATAATAAGTATTACTATAAAATTACTATAGTATCAGTGATAACAATCTTACATGCATATTACTGCTATTATTTTTGTAGTTAAATTCATAAAAAGGATAGAGAAGACCGGGACTAATTTGCTAAAAAGGTAAAATGGCTAATTGATTATTTCTTGTTTTCAGGTTGCACAATCGAGCAAGTAGGAATTTCATATTCATCTCTGACATTTTAGAAATCTCGCTTGCTCGATTCTGTAAGTTGTTAGAAAATAGCAGAAATAATCGATCAGCCAATTCATCCCTTTAGTCACTCAGTCCCGGTTTCCCCTATGAGTTGAGGGTGAAAACAAGTAAAATTTCTCTCAGTGCATAAAGCATATACTGCATATATACACAGAAAAGAAGAAGTATTACATTCAAGTAAATAATCATTCCAATGTTCTTTAGCAAATATTTTTACCTGAATCAAGTGATATTGATTTATCGAAGTAGAAATTTGCCAAAAAAAATGAGAATAATCATTTACTTAAATCTACCATCCTTTCCGTGTAATATCGTACATCGTAAAAGAAACGCGTCTTCAAATCCATCCTGATCAAACTCGAGCTCGGAAACCACCGTGATCAGAGAAGAACAATGTTCGAACGTCAATATGCCTATCGAGGTTTGATCTTGACTTTCTGAAACAACATTACCTGTTCTGACCAGCTCGCCGGGATGCTCGCTGACGAAGTCGCCCAGAGTTCTCTCGGCGAGGATGTCGCTGGTCATCTTGGTGTAGGCGTCGGTCAACGGAGAGACGCCCGACTCCGGCGAGGCGGCCGCCCCAGGAGCCGAGGCTCCTGTCAACTGCATCCTGCCGCTCGCGCTACCGCTCTCGCTGGTACCGCTCGACGTGCCACCAGCAGTACCAGCGGACTCGTTGCTGGACGTCCTCACCGGGCCGGCACCGCTTCCGGCTACCGTGCTTCCGCTGCCGCCGCCGTTGCAACGGCCGAATATATCCATAGGCAGTCAGAACGCCGGATGAAACATCCTTCCATTCGGTTCACCCGCTGAGCCAACGGAGTCTTGGGAACATCTTTTGAGAGCACGTAGCTTCCGAGACCAGGCTCAACGGCCTGACATCCTTCGTATAGCTGCAGGTCCTTTTTCCGAATTCCGAAACAAGAACGGCTGATGTGCGAGTCGTTAATCTCAGTCGCTTTCTTTCTCGACGTTATCGGTGAGACGAACGTACGACTCGAGCGGAGGATTCTCTTCGGGAACTCTCATAGAGTCATGCATCGTCGTGCGAGTTCGCCGACGGCCAGCTACTTATTCCCCTGCTCTTAACATCGGTAGAGCTCATGACGTTCGGCATAGTATCTTCTCGAATTTCCTTCCGCTATTTTCCTAAATTTCAGCTCCTAATATCGTGGTTACATCGCATCGCAGCTATCTGAAACAAAATAAAACCGACTTTCCGTCAACGACGCATCTTTTGAGCCAGGTTGATGAAAAATTCACGTATTTCTACGATTATACGTTCACGCGTGACTTATTAATTAAGTCCGTGGTATAACATGGAAGGATTATCGAGATATCGGAGTGTCGAAAAATCGAGGGATTGCTCTGACGAAGCAAAGTCTCCCCGCCACGGCCTCGCGGCCGTCGCTGATCAACGGTATCGCCCTTAATCCGTTTAACAGAATCTTCTACTCGCCGTGATCTCGCGACTGAAGCCCCTTTAACCGAATTGCCTTCAACCCTCGCGACGACACTCCGGTGACGGACACGGGAAGCGGGCGGGGGCGGCTGAGCGCGGGTAACGCGCGAAGGGAAACGAAAGGGGGTGAAAACGGTTGACACGGACAGGAACGACTCGCACACTTTTCACGCGGCTGGTTCGTGACGTCACCGTTCATTCAGTAATTTTTGCGCACGTCACCGGGGCTGACACGCCGGATCCAGGTGGTTCCAGGAGGGGCAGACTGGCACGATGGTGGGGACGGAAAAAATAGGGGAAAAAGAACGCCCGCCGGTAGGCACCCCCCACACGAATGCCCAACCCCTACGCACGTACGACCGCGTGTCAAACTGCACGTGGCTACGTTACCACGTTGCCTCCTGTCAATGACGGTCTCGTGATCTCCGAGAGCCGCGCGCCGGCCAATGTCGGTAATGATAATGAGACGGAGGTGATCGTGTGATCAAGGTCGAGATGAAGCTCACGAGCACGGTCTGTTTGCAAGCCGACCACCGCGCTCACCGGCAAAATCGCGAATAATTACCGTCCTATTAATTCGCGTCGTTCGTATTCTCGTCTCCGCGCGAATACAGTCTCGTAGGGCAACGTTCGTTCCCTCTCCCGTCGCGATTTTATCGTGCTAATTATATTTGGCGTGTAAATGACAATCGATTGCTTCGATTGAAGCGTGTATGTAGTCGGGCATATCGCGTTGTCGCGCATTATTCGAAACACCGCGGCGGAAGGCAACCGCCACGAGAGTTCGATATTTCTCCTATTACAAAAGTAATTCATCCGGCGGCGCGCCGGGGAAAATAATCGGCGATCGAGAGCGTCCTGTAAGAACGTTTCCCACGACGTCGGCTAAGATTCTCGCTTAACTTCGCATTCAAATCTCTTACGAAACTCGTTCTGTTTACCGTCTTCCGGCGGAATTGCGATACAAGCCCGCGTTATTTCGCAAATTCCGCGCAAGTCCCGCGGGGAATCGCGCGAACAGTTCAGCGCAATGCGACGTGATCTGTAGAAACGTTCGAGGCGATCGACAGAACTCAGGAAAATGAAAGGTTCCATAGAATTCCCCGATGAAAATTCGACGAAAGTGTGCTTTGACTACGAGGAAAAGACTGGGAGGCATCAGCCGCCGAAAATCCCCGCCGAACGTCCAACGTCCTGAATGAGTACCTCAGAGCGATCGACGCTGAGAAACCGAAGTTTTCCAGAGGCCGCTTTTCTACTAAACTCGACGACGAGGGTATCCTCTTTTCCGAAATCTTCGTTCACTCGCGCTCTCGATTACCGAGAGAATCACACGATATCACGTACGTCGTCGCTCGACACTGAACTCCTGCATGATCACGCACTTGGCCCGATCGAAGAGAACGAATGTTCACCAGCCCTGCATCGTCATCATCCTCGTGCACTTCACTCGAACGAGCTAACGGTAGAATCGACCGATCCCGCCTCTCGATACGTGCCTCGGCGAGATCTCCCGGTCGAGCCCGGCGGATTATCTACGACAGGTTCCCCTTAGATGATCCCAAAGGACCCCTTCGGCGGCTCGTTAGCGGCGCCCCCGGATCATCTTCGTTGCCCGCGAGAGGTAGGAAAGTGGCAGTTCCGTCTCGCTCACAGCGACGGCAGTCGAGAATGTATTTCGCAGTATCCGTTGGGGGGGTCACTAACTATAATTTCGGCGGTTCGTGTGAGGCAACAGCCGTTGACGCACTGGTCCATGCCAACACACGCAGCATCCCTTTCCCCTTTCCTGGTTCCTCTCTCACACCCCTGTGCCACCCCACTCCTTCCACCCTTCCTTCCCTATCCTGGCAGTCTCTCTCGCTCCCTCCCACGCTCGCTCACTTCGTCTCCCTCTCGCACAGCCTTTCTCTCTCTCTCTCTCTCTTTCTCTTTCCGTCCCTCATTCCGCTTCTCGTAACCTCTTTCTCTCGCGCGCACACTGCTCTTTATCGCTTTATCTCCCACCGGGCCCGACGTCTCCCTCTCGCGACGTCCTCGCTCTTTCTCTGCGGCACTCTCGTTCTCTCTTTCCCCTCGACCCTTTTGCAGCATGGCTAGCGTGTGCCGGACATCGGTGGGGAGCCGGGACTTCGATCGATTTATCGAACCCCGATTTGATCGGTTTCCTCCGACCGACCGCTCGCTCGCTCGTTCGCGCAACGTACGCGCGCGCGTGCACTTTTTTCCTTTCCTTCGCGTGCGTAACTCGCAATCCGCCGCCTTGCAACACCTCGATGCTTTCCGATAGGCCAGCCGAGCAAAAGTTCGCACGGAATTAATGACGTCAAACGTATTGTTCGGATTCGGGCGCGCGAGCGGAACTTCCGGCATCCGACAACGGCGTGTGGCCGTTAAACTTGGCGAAAATATCGCGCTCGCGCGATTTCAGTTATCGGCATTTCAACGTTCGCCGAATCGATCGCTCCTGCCGGCCGACATCTGCGTTTTTTCCTCGAAACGCATCGTTGTTTCATATGCATCGGAACACTCGCGCGTCCGGTATCTCGTACAATGAAGCTTCACTTTCGAAAATCAAACAGAGGTCCCGGCGCATCCTCGCAGTTGCACTGTTTGTACGAATGTGCAAACAATGGAACTACCCATTTCCTGCGCGAATATATCCTGACGATATCCAACCGGTCGCGGACCTGCAGGCAAACACTCGAGGTTCTACGAATATGTGCGGAGCCAGTTGTATAAAATCAACAAATTTGAGGAGATTTTTTCGCATCGGTCCATCGCGCTCACGCGCGTCGAAGCGACGTCTCAACGCTCCCCTCTTTTCAACCGGAGGAGACGCGATATTTTTTTTCCCCCCATTTCTGTTTGAAAATACCGGAGAGTGGGCAGATTTCACTCGTATTTTTCCGCCGCGAAACTTCCCACCGAAAGAATTTTTATCGATACAGCTGAAATTTCGATCGGGCACAAGCGTGGGTACACTTTCGCGATAACTTGCCTTCTGAAATATACCATTTCCGCGCGACGCGGAAAGAGAGAGTGAGGAACAGAGACGGACAATAATTTAGGGGTGACACCGGCGTAATATTATTCGACCGGTTTGCCGGTGGTGACGTTTAACAGCGCGGCGTGGCTCGCGGAACGGAACGAAACGCGCCCTCGGCCGGCAGAAGTATGCGCCGGTATTCAGCGGCGAACGATCGCCGACGAGACGGTGACAAACAGCGATACCGCTGGAAACGTGGAAACTGGACGGCCGCCGTCGTATTGACAAACGACCTAACGCCCGTGTGGACCGTTGCGTTCGACGAGATTCGAATTATCTCTGTTGGAGCTTGTCAATGCAAATGCCATACCTACATTCAATTACCGCTCGTCACGCTCCGATCAACTGCCGGGCCCGGCGATGAGTCAGGTACGCCGGCACTCCACGGCGTACCGGCCTTTCTTCGCTCGATCTCGTCCCACGTTTTGCGAAAGAGTCGCGACCGATCGCCTCGACGAGGCGTCTGCGACGCCTTCTTCGGCAATTGCGCGACCGTAACATCGGCAGATGTAACTTTTTATGAATTTTCTTGATAGTTTTATCGGTTTTATCGAATTGTTCCAATACCTTTTCATCTGGCGCACAGTTTTGTATTAATCGCTGAGCCGATCACTTCGTGAAAAAAAAAGAAGAGAGAATTTTTTAACGCGCGAACCACGGTCGTGGATCGTGTCGACGAATTTCGAGAAATTAATACTGCATTCGCTGATGCTTCATTATTTTACTAGCACACCGAAAGAGTCGATCAATTGTCCCACGCGTGTTTCTATTCATAGAGATACAACCGTGTCGTTACAGGATATACGACTGGATATAGCGGTGCGTTGAACGACGTTAATTAATGAGCCACGCTACCGATATAATTGTTACCGCGAGTTGCTAATGTCTCATGTTCGGGAAATAAAATATGCACGTGTCTATTCGCCTATGCGTGTACTGTTCGCAGTGGACTGTTTGTGTACATAATAACAAATTAACTGAATGAGAATTTATTATGAAACGAAATCGCGCACGAGCATCTCGTGACATAATGCTCTTGTGTGCGAAATCAAGTGTAATCTTCATTTGATGGAATTACATTTTACATAGTATTCCTGACAAAAACTTCCCTCGCTATCGGAAGACTTAAGAATTCGTAAAGTCATTCCAAACCGGAGGTCGCTGGATACTCACTTACTCTTTGGCAATCCGAAATGAAAAATCCGCTCTTCTCGCAAATCGAATGCATTCTTTCGGCGCGGATTGCGATCGATCGAAAGAACCATCGTTCATCGTGGGTCCTGCCTAGTCAATTCCAGCACGACACTCTTCGCTCCACGATGACTCTCGAGTTCACAAACGTCCCACCAACACGTGACAATCCCATCAAGGCTTGATGGGTTTTACAGGAGACCACAATCAATCGATGATGACACTGCCCGACCACGCCGATCTTCGAATCTAGGCACGAACACGTGGCAGCGAAAACGAGCAATTATCGCGCGGATATTGCGAAGAATTATTATAGACTCGATCGAGCGGCCGTGCGCTACAATTATATAGAAAGACTGTGGTTATCGTTATGTTCATTTCGACACACACACACTATCGAATACGACAACCGGAAGAGTAATCGAATGGAGCACATCGAGTAAAACAATCCGATGCACCACCATATGTCAGAACGAATGTTGCTGAAGCGAGG